CGCAAAAATTTCTTATATAATTTTACAAATTTTCAGGCCCGCACTGGCCCGCAATTATAAAATTTTGCTTCAGGCCCAGCCCGGCCCGCAAAAATTTGCGGGCCGGGCCGGGCTGCGGGACCCAACGCAGGCCTCTATGGTATGGTATCTTGATTTATATCTTTTTTATCAAGCACGTGTTATTTATTTGATTAATCCTTTTACGTATAAAAATTGCGTCAAATCGATTGAACGCGTATACTTGCGCCATAATTAATTAAGTAATACGTACAATAATTTGTTATGAAATATCGTATGCTTTTAATCCGGTTTTATTGGCTATAAATATTTTACTATGTTTCTGTATGGTTTCTGCAATAAAATAATCATTCCGCTTATTCCAACTTGATATCTTGTTATTTTTGATACGTATCAACTCGTAATTGAGAGTAGTGATGGGCAAATCGCAGTTTTTTAAAAATCCCGCGCAGGATCTGTGGAATATAGTAGAGTTTTTTAAATTATAAAAAAATGTATAAATATTATTACTAGAAATAAAATTTCTTGTTAAAACAATATCATCTTGTTCTGCTTGAAAGATTCTATCAAGAAAATTTTGAATATTTAAAGTTCTTTGTTTATATTAATTTGTTTTTGGTTCTTGAAATGTAGGTCCATGTTTAATATTCAAACCAACATTATCTAAATGTCCTTCACATCTTACAATTGATTGATTCATTGCATGCATGGTCACAATAATTACATTTAGCACACCCTTGTTTATAATCTGGGTCTGATCCAAGTTTTTTAAAATGATGTCAAATTAGTTTATTAACAGTCATGTTATAATAACGTTGTTTGAAGAATGACTTAATAATACAGTAATAAGAAATACGAAGTAAGAACTACCAATGGCTTAATTTGCTCTTCCATAATTTTAGAATCTAAGTTTTATTGTGATTGGCTCGCCACCTTTGTGTCATGTTTAAGTTGCCGTGCCCAATTTTTTGATGTGCCATGGCGATGCCATCTATCTTGTACCAACCACCGTAGTCACAATCCTAAAAAGTTTCGCCATTGGTCGAATTAAAATTCAAGATCAGGTGTAACATAAAATCAAAACAAAAATACCCAGCGAAATTGTTTAAAAATGCATTTACATTAAATTCATCGCGTGTAACCTAGAGAATTATCTATTAAACTGAGTTACACTGATTACTGATCATCACGGGAACCTACAATTCACAATTTTTATTGGATGTTTCTGACATACATTACATTCACTTTTTAGTTAGTTCTCGGACAAATCTTAAAGCCAGATTTATATAATTATATCATTAGACAATCTTTATTTATGGAATAAATATCCCTTCTACACATTAATTTTTATATATTTATAACATCTATATAATTTGGCAAGTATGACCGTCAGATACATCAATAAAATATGTCTAAAAAAAAGCCACAAATGAGAAGGCTTAGCTAATTCTACCATTATTTTCCATATAAGTAATTAATTCCTCCAAAGGAGCTATTTCTTTCTTATCGGGCAATAAATTAAATTCCTTAGCAAATGAAATAAAATGGGCGAATAATGAATTAAATTGCTTTTCTTCACGAAGATGCAAAATTTGTTCGTAATGTTGATAATAAATATGTGCAAAGACCCTGAAACATTGCTTGAATATTGATCTAACTATTTGTGAAAATTCTTTTGGGAATTCCCGGCCTATTAGAAAAAAAATATAAGCAGTTTTATAATCAATAAAAATCAAGACACAACCAGATTAATAATAAATATGATACATACCTGCTTTCGTAGGAAAAACATTTTCGTCATTAACTAGATTTTGGACCCAGGTCATTACATAATCTATATATGTAGGAGCAGGTAATTTTGTAGTTTTCTTTTGATTTTGATCCGTCCAGATATAAGGCTCAAAACTAAGATGTAACAATAAATAACTGAGTCATAATAAAGCAGGGGCGAAAAATGTAAAGGTATGCACATACTTTGGACCAGCACTCATAGTAGGACAATTGGAGGGTGTACAGAAATCGGTAACAGTTCCATAGAACATGTTGAGGTAATTAAAAAACTCAAAGACTAAAAAATATTAAATAAATAATAAAAAGAACAAAAAATTAAATATTCTGCCACAAAGCAATACATACCATTTACAGCAAGCCACTCATCTTCATCTACATATTTTGGTAAAACAACAATTTTTTTAAAACTTCCATCTACTAAGGAAGCATCAATAAAAGGAGGGGAAAGGAATAAAGGACGTGGGTTTGTTCTTGCACGATGATGTTTTTGATTTCTTTTACTGAATACATGAATAGTTAAGAAGCCTTAAGTATAATTATTTGACAGCACAGGTTAGTAAAGTAGGTAAGCAAGGCAAAACTTACTTATGAAAGAAATTCATGATTTCGAACCACACATGCGAAATTTATTAAGACGAGAAGGTCAATGTTGCTTGGCATTTACTAATTTTCCATCCCCTTTTCCATTGGTCGCAGGTGAATCTCAACTTTGATTGGACAAAATCTTCGTCAAAGATGCTGGTGAAATTAATTTCACCAATCAACACTAATTTTGGTAAAATTACCAGTAACAGGGAATCGCTAAAGCATTGTACCCACGTGACCAATCATGCACAGCAATAATTACAATGTAATTCAGTAGTGTAAAATAGAAAAATTCGAATAAATTAAATTCTTGCTTTTACAGTTTATTTTTTTGTTTTTGCAATTTTTTTTTTTACTTTCTTAGTTTTTTTTGGTCAAGTGAAAATATTGTGTTCTAATTATTACTTGCATATACTATATATATTTTTTTTTGCCAATATATTATATAGCCAAAAGGTATGCCTATACTTAAGAAAATGTTATATAATTGGTTAATTGTTTAAATTTACTTATAATTATATATAATAATTAACCAATCAAACTATATAATTTTTTAATATTATTAAAAATAAAAAAAAGCTTTATATAATAAAGTTTATAAATTAATAAAAAATCAATTAATTTTTTTAATTTATGATTTACAAATACAATTACTATAATTTAAGAGTACCAATTTAATAATAAACTAAATAAAATAAAACATTTAAATTTACTAAAAAGTAAACTAATTTTTATTAATCTAATATATAAAATAGTTTGTTTTTTTTGCTTTTGCAAAGCTATTAATTATAAGCAGTTATAATGAGAAATGAACTCTTTTCGCTAATCTTTAATTTCTAAACAAAACAAAACAAACATAAAGGAAAAATACAAAAACAGCTCAAAAAATCTCATTTTAGACTCTAAAAAAAAGATTTAGTATACAAAATACAACTATTTTACTTTAACAATAGTATAAGTAAAGTCTTCTTAAACAAAAGTTTTTGTTAGTTTTATAAATTTTGAAAAAATTTTAAGGAAAATTGAAAAATAGCACTAGACTCTAAAAACAAAATTGGAACACATAATCAGCTATTAACACAAACAAAAACAATATATTATATTATACTAAATAAACAAATAGTAACAATAAATAGTAACAACAAATAATAACAACAAATAATTTTATTAGAAAATAACAGGTAAATACAATACATAGAATAAACAAATAAATAAACAACAGAATAGTCTAGAAATAGAAATACAAACTAGATTAAGATTACTATATAGTACAAACTTAATTTAACATATTAAGGATTTTGGTGATAGAAATAGAAGATATATAGATAGTAAAATACTAGATACAGTTCTAACAAAACCTATAAGAAATCCTGATAATCTAGAGTATATAGTAAAAGACTTGACAATTTATAATCTAAAAAACATTATGGCAAATGATTTATTTTTTTATAGTCAAATACTAAAGATACTTAAAATAGCAGAAGTATATATAGTTTCATATAATAATATAGAAGAATAGACAAAAAAACTAGTATCAATAGACATAATTCATAAATTATTTAGATATTAAATAAATACAAATAAAAGAGAAATATTATAAAAAGAAACAAAGCTAGAAGGAATGAAAGAGACAAAGAAGATCAAAGAAATAAAAATGCTTATACATATAAAAAAAAAATACCAAGAATATAAAAATGAAAAAGAAGAAACAAATCAAGATTTAAAAGAAGTTATAAAACAAATAAAAGAATTAAGCATTTCAACTACAAATCAACATGACTTCAATGACTTCAAAACATGATTATAGGAAAACTATTAATAGAAACAATAAGATGTAAAAATAGTAATTGGAAAAAAAAAATAAAAAAGACTAAGAAGAATCAATAGATGACAGAATATACAATCTTAAAAAAGATATTAAGAATATAGATAGAAAAATAATAGAACTAAAAGCAAAAGAAAAAAAGTAAGAAACTTTAAAATTAACAAATATAATAAAACAAAGTCAGTGATTATTAAGAAACTATATATGTGATAAAAGTAAATTCTTTAAGGCAAACATGCCAACATATATAGTACTAGATGAAAACAAAAAAGAAAGAATCAAATACATACAATGGATTTTTCAAGAAAATCATCATATTAAATCAATTCAAGAACTTTTCAAAAAGAAAATAGTTGAATAGAAGTGAATTTTGACTGTAAATTTAGTAGAGATGCAGCAATGAAGAAAATTAAATAAAAAGAAAATAAATGACTTAAAATTATTTTAAAAGAACCAAAAAACTAAGAAAAGAAGCAGAAGCAATAAGTACTAAGAAGCAAGAAAAAAGAAATAGAAGAATCCAAAAATACTATTAGACAAAAGAAAAAAAAACAATAAAAATAACTATGTAATAGAAAATGAGTTAGAAGTAGAGTCACATTTAACAAAATGGGATTTATTAGCCAATATCAACACAAAAGAAGTAGACCACATATGCAAAAATATTAAAAAAGCTTATATAAAATACATTAAAAAATCTAAATACAAAGCATTAGCAATAATTAAAGCAAAAAAAATAGAAGAAAGAAGTATTCTATGATTATTGCTAATAGGAATGCACAAACTTGCAAGAATAATAATAAAAGAAGAAAACTATAATCAACATAATTTGCAAAATCAATTTACAAATTAATTAATAGAGCTTTCAAAAAATACATTAGAAGTATTGCTATTATGATGCCTAAAGAAAAAAGATGTAAAATTAGTATATATACCATCTAATAAAAATAAAAATCAAAGAAGGTCAGCTACAATTACATTTATATCAGCAAAGAAAATGAAAACAGCACAAATGAAAAAATCAATATGATTCAACAACTACTTACTCTTTTGACAAGATTACAAGAAAGAAAATAAGAAATATATAAACAAAAATAAAGAAGAAAACTATATCAATAAGGATAATAGTAGTAAAGATTCAAATATATAGTAGAAGCTTATAGAAACATTAATTATAATAAAAGATAAAAGAAAAATAATAAACACTACAATAATCACAAGAAAAACCAAATTGAAAATAAAGAGGTACAACTGCAAATACATAGTCTTCTTCAAAAAATATTAAAAAGATTAAAAAGATTAGAAACACAACAAAGCCAGACAGCTCTGGCTAATTACTTTTAAGGGTGCATTAGTTGAATTAATAAACTTAAATGAGAAGATCAGAGATTTTCTGCAAGGTGAAAGAAGAGTTTTTAAAGAGAGAAAAAAAAATATCTTCAAGTCTAAAAGGAAAGAAAAGCAGAAATAGAAAAGAAAAAACAGAGAACAAAGCAATAATACAAAAGAGTTAAAAGAAAAATAAAAGGAAGGAAGAAAATAAATCAAAATAGTATGTTATAATATTAATAAACTGAAACCAAAAGTTGAAAGTTAGAGAACTTGCTTAGTTGAGCAGAAGAAGAAAAAATCACAATATTGAAAATTATCAAAACAAACTTTATAGAAAAAAAACAAAATTTTTAACATATATAGTAAACAAAAGATATATAGATTTTTGGACAAGTACAGCAAAAGATAAAAAGAAAGGTTTAGGTATTGAAATTATAGTTGACAAACAATAAGAGAAGCATATAGTTGTAGTCAAAAAAATAAGTAAATATATGATAAAAATCACACTATACTTCAAACAATTGGAGTTAGTAGTGATTGCAGTCTATATATTATCAAATGATAAAGTAGCAGAGAAAAATATTCAGTAAAAAATTGTAAAAACAGTTACAAAGAGAAAAAGACAAACACAAATCATTGTAATAGGTGATTTTAATTATACAGTAAACAATATTTTAGACAGACAACATCTACAAATAATAAACTACAAAAGACTATCAATCTTTTATTGAATAAAAAATCAAGACTTTAGAGATATATATAGAGACATAAACCCAACAAGTTAACAATATATGTGGTTAAATAGAGAAGCAGTAACAAGAATTAATTATATATAGATATCAAAAGGATTGGCCTCAGGGTTACAAAAAGCAGAAATTAAAGAAGTAGAAGAGATTACAGAAAGTGACTACAAAATAGTAATAGTAAAAGTATGAATAAAGTATTTAGTAGCAAAAAAAAGCAAGGCAGAGATTAAAAAGAAAAAACAGTAAAGAACTGTATATTTGTATGACCAAACAAGATCAGAAAACTGAAAAAATTATGTACAGAAATTACAAAACTGACTAGAAAAGAAAAAAATATTAAAAGACATTCACAAAAAAAAGCAAAATGAAGAAAGAAAGGCAGAAAAATAAACAACATATGGGATATAATAGAAGAAGCAATTATTATAGTGACAAGTAAACATATACCAAAGAAAATATATATAATACAACAACAAATAAAAGAAAAAGTTCAAGAGAACAACAATAAGAAGAAAGCATTTTTAAGTTTCAAAAATTAATAAAATATGTGAAAACAAAAAGAACCCAAGCAGTAACAGAAGAAGAAAAAAGTAAAGTAAATGAACAGTTAAAAACACTAGACAAGAAAATTGGTGCAAAGCTATTATGATTACAAAAACAATAGTCAAATACATGAATAGAAAATATAAAGAATTGAAAAAAACTATTATTAAAAAGAAAAAAGAAAGATTGAAAACAAATACAAAAAAACAAATAAAAAGAATATAGATAAAAGATGTGAAATGATTAGAACAGACCAAAGAAAGATAATAGTGAGTCTTCTGAATAGGCCTTATAAGAAAATATTACTTGACAGGTTCATTAAACAAGTAGAAAAAGAAACAAACTTGCTAACAAGTTCAGAAGATGTCAGAATAAGAGTAGCAAAACATTCAAAAAGCAATTTAGAAAAAAAAATACAAAATTAAAAAAGATGTCAAAAAAATAAAAAGAAATATATAAACTATAAAAA